AGCGAGGAACGAAGAGAGACGGAAAGAGAATTGAACTATCAGTCCAAGCAGGACTCTGCCTTCGGGATCCCAGGCAGGCCTTTCAAACATCTTCCAAGCTTACTTTAAGGCTAGCAAGGTGTTTGTGGGAATTGGATTCAGGGTGCAGGCTGTCCTTATGCGAGCCGCGCTGTGTCCCCTACGATGCGGTTGCTATGTTCGCCAACTTGAGCAGGAATTTTCGTACTTCTCAATGTTTCCTTTCTCTTTCTCTGCATCCGCCTGTCTCCGTGTAGCACACCTGCATTCGGACAAGGAGGAGGAGACGGAGAGGTTTGGACGAAAGAACAAGGGAGAGAGCGAGAGACAGAGCGAGCTAGAGGGAGAAAGAGAGAGAGAGAGAGAGGGGAGCAGGTAGGTATATACACATACACAGAAGACATAGATGTATGTGGGAATGTCAGAACAGCAAGCCAACATGGATCCCGCACAGTCGGACCTTTTTTGCAAGAATCCGAAACTAGGAACCCCCACCCCTTTCAACAAAGCCGGGAAAGCCGCATGGATCTGCTTCGGAGATCTTCCTCAAGTCCCCGCGGCTTCCCGGACCAAACTCTGGCCCTGGCTCTCAGGACTCGAGCGAGGCCAGGCCCCACAGGGGGACTTTGGCAACAGGAAGGGCACAACCAACATCGTTTCTTTCTGGATCTTGAACTATGGGTTGCCTTATTCTTCTTGATTAAGGTTTTTCAAGATTGTACCGGTTCTATGCGGTTTTCTTGAGATGAGGGAGACCTCATTTCCTTCTTGTTCTGAAATCGCTTGGGTTCTGTGGCGCTTGGGTTCTGGCGTCACAGGTTTCCGGGTTCGGGCTCTGGGGTTTAAGTTTTCACGTTGCAGGGGTGTGAGGCCTTCAGGGTTTAGGGTTGCGGGTCTCGGGCTTGAGACTGCCAGGTTGGAGCGGGGTTTGCGATTTTCAGTGCATGTTCTTGCTTCTTGTTGCTTCCACAAGCTAAATTCAGTGTCTTCGCATCCCCAGAGATGTTCTCTGCTTCAGCATTTGGGAGACTTGTGTAGTGTAATGCAGCTGTGCAATAGCACAGCAGCACAGTAGCAGAGTGGTAGCAGTGCCGATGTTTCGTCGGAGTTGGGGACTTGCTTTCATGTGTAGCGTCTGTTGATCCGACACCAATAAAGCTCCACGGATCGGGTTGATCAAGACCATGGGATGCCCAAAGAGTTCGTGACGGGTTTGGGTTCAAGTGCTGTTTGTTGGAAACTCGCCTCATGTTACAATTCTTGCAGCTTTAAGAAAGTGTTTGGATTCTCGTGTGTCGGCTGGGCCCAGACAGCAATTTGTGTGTGGCATCCAGAATTAAGGCATCCAGGGACTTTGCCGGAGTGGCATGCGCCCCGACCACAGAGCAGCCAAAAGACAGGCAAGAATTGCAAACGAAAGTAGATAGAGGCGAGGCTGCCCTAGCCAAACAAGGCTTTCGTGCGTTGTTCGTGCTCCGGCCTGCATGCAGGTCTCTTCGTGCTTGGGTCTCTCCTGCAGCGCAGAGGCCTGGTGGACGCAAGACGCTTTGGGGTGTTTGGGTGTCATCTTTATCTCTCTTACGGCTTTGTGAGGAAATCTCTGACTTTCGGGCAATTGCAAGCTTGGTCAGTGCAGGGATCTCTCAAAATTCCGGGGATCCTCACTGCCCGCGGGATGCGACACCACACTTCCGATCTGTCACAGCACGAAAAATTTGGCCAAGCCCTGTCCTTCTTCCGTGCAGTTCATGATCAGAAAGCCACAAAGCTTCGACACTGCTCATTGCGACGGTCGGCTTTCAGGCTGCCTCCCGCCCCACGCCAAGCCTACTCAGACCTCCTAGCAGCGCCGATCCACGTCAATCTTGGACCCTGAGACTGAAGCCTCCGGATCACGAAGTGTCATTGTTTGGCTGGTATAGCACGCATCTTCCAGGCCGAGATCATGACTCAGAGAAACTTTTTGGAGTGGTTGGAGGGCGGTTCCAACATGCAGGAGGACTCGGGAAGGTGGAGTTTGGCAGCTTGGGAATCAGCGTGCATAAGGGGACAGGTTGAGAGTGCGAGGTTCGGGGCTTACCCTGCACGGGTAACGCAACTAGGTACAAGGGGAAGAATTGCAGTCGCATGGGATTTCCATCGGAGGCATTGGTGCGAGAAAGACCGCGATACGAGTGCTGACAACCAAAACAGCACTAAAACAACTTGACATCCGCAATAGCTGCAGCAGCGATGGCAAACATCTTGTGTCGTCTTCTCACAAGCATGAAGGCCAGAGCAGTGCGACCAGTTGGAGTGAGACTCTTATCAGCGCGAGAACTCGGAGCACATTCAGGGGACTAGAACGAACGATTTTCTTTATGAGTGATCATCATATTTCGAAAACTGTCCAATATGCCGACAGAAGGACTAGCTAAATTGGTGCGAGAGAAGTTAGAGGTACTACGCACGCGGCAGTTTTGCAAGGATGCAATATTGTCGTTTTGAGCGCCCACGAGTTTCAAGCAGATTTGAGTGAGTAGACTATGCAGATGCAGAACTTACATCATTCATGGATTTGTCAGACGACCTCTCCGCGCAGCTCCTGTCGGCAGACAGGTCAATTCCATAAGGGACCCCATGCCCTGAACCTCATAACCCCTTGAACCCAGACCTAAGCCCTGAGCGGACCCTGTTCTAGACCCCAGACCCTGAACCCTCGACGAGGACGAAGAAGCATGTCCCTTCTTGGGTCCCTGCCTGGAGATCGACTCCGAAGCGCCTGTTCTGATGTTTTCCGCAGCGCCCAATTTCTTATTTGAGGAAGTGGTATTGGGCTTTTTGGGTTTTGTATTGCTCCCAAGGTCCTTGAGCGAGGTGAGTTGCATTTGCTTGTGTCAATGTGTACGACTGCGAGGTACTTGCTATTGGCAGGCAAATGATAGGCCGCTAACCCCGAAGCTTCGGTTGACCGTGCCGTCGAAGAGGCCCAACCGCCTGTGCCAAGTCGCCGATACAGGCTTGTAAGTGAGTCGAGCGTCCGACATCGGCCCTTGAACGAGGACTGCATGGGGCCTTCAACCCCCGAGCTCTCCAAACCTTCGCCATTCACCAATGGCCTCCAGCGCCCAGGACGGTAGCATGCATTTCCTTTGTGCGGCACGGGCGCGGCAGTTTCATCGAGAGGATCATGAGCAGGCAAGGTCTGCAAGGTCCGACTCTCCAAGCTACAAAGCTTTGAAGTCCGATCAATAGAACTCATGAAGCATGAGAAATCCCGTCGCGGTGCCAATGTGCCCCTGCCATGGGATTTTAAAGTCTGGCCCTTCGGCGCCCCAAAGACATAAAGCCCTTAAGCCCTAAACCCGCACAGCCCTTAACTTCAAATGTTCTATATCCCTCGCAAAGCCGACGCCCATACACACTTGCCACGAACAAATGCTTGTCGTCTCAAGACGGCGGGCGTGGCTCGCTGCGGTTCCAAAGCCGAGCTGTCAGCGACCGCCCCTGAAGCTCAAGGCTTAGCCGAGACTGTCTGTTTTCATGGGGGTTAACTTTCGATGCAAAGTCTTCGAAGGGTTCTACCAGGGTCGTGTAGGGGTTCAACAGAAGAGAGCGACTGTGTAGGTGCTTCTTAGTAGTTCGTAGTCCAGTAAATAGGTATAAGCTTTAAGCTTTTGGAGTGTTTAGCCGAAAATGATCCCAACAAATCAACAGTTTTCGATTCCCGAAAAGAGGCTGGACATGAAGGGCTTCAGGCACAGCGTAGACTACCCTCGCGTAGAGCTTGAACATACCCAGGGTGTGCTCTCGCGGACGTCACCAGGCTTCTGTTGCCCCGTGTTGAGAGCTTAGTCTTGCTTCAGGAACAGGCAAGGATGAAGGTTTGCCGTGCAGAAAAACACCGACACTCTCTGGGTTCAGGGCTGGAACATAGACTGGAGTCCTACAGGTTTCGTTTATCCAGGTGCCAGTAACTCGTCGACTGCAATTTCGGATGGGTTTCAAAGGGGCTCCTAAACTCGGCACGTCGAAGATTCAGGATCCCATTTCTTCAGGTTTGGGCCTGGTTTCCCAGCTCGTCATCGGGCCTGAAACTCTGAGAGTCTTCATTCAAAATGAGCAGGTGGGGTGCTGCGGAAAGATTCGTGACGGAGCGCTGTGTCGCCAGGCTGTCTCAGGCCAGGCAGTGTACACTGTGAGTGGGCGCTCATGGCGTCGCTTGCTTGTTCTTGAAGGTATCGGCTGGAGGCATGAAGTGCGCCATGGACCTACAGTAGCAGTAGGAAGAGATAGCATTGTGCCAGCCCTAGACCTAGACCTTCTCCTCTCAACCCCATGCCGATCTCTACACCCTCCATCCTTTTAAGCCCCACACGCTTCTGGCACCGCCCATGGCGGTCTGTGGGTCGGCTCCCCGGCAGCATGTTAGGGTACCCAAAGACTCACAGCGGGATTCTCGAGGCACGTGGCTTCGACGAGGCCCTTCCAGCAAGCAGCAAGCCAGCGCATGCTTTGTTACGCGGGGCCAAGGAGTTGAATCCATAAAGGGATATTAGGGCCGTGCGGAGAGGAATAGTATATGTTTCTATCGGGGTCAGACGATGGCCCGTACTGCAGGGGTTGTCATTACAGAACCCTGTTCGAACTGTTTTGACTAGAGAAATTTGGTGCTGTAGCACCTGATTCCACTACAGTTCCGTGAGTTCCGGAGCCGCCTGCGTTACGAATGTTGCTGAACTAAAAACGGATATCTCCTAATCGTGATGCAATGTAGACAGCGGCATCAAGGAGTTAAGTAGAAATGTTCTTCCTGAGGTTCCCCTGATGCACTGATAGTTTAACACCTCCGAAAGTATAAAACTTCCGAATCAGAATCCGAGGCCCTATCAAACACTGAACCGCTACAATGCCTGAGACCCGCTAGGTTTCCGTGCTCAGATGTGGTTCGTCTGCGTGTGAGAAACTTTAAATCCACTGCCCAGCACTCAGGATTGAAAGGCATGGGTGCCGGAGAGCAGCCGAATGGCTCGATGCAGAAGGCAGCTAAGCGCCCACCTTGTCCGGCTAAGTTTCAGCATGTGGGGCTCAGCCAAAACATGTAGCCCCTTTTTTCGTAAACCACTCCCCGCAATATACTACTAAGACTAAGATACCGAACTGAAGCGCGGCTTTTTGCGGAACCTACATCACAGTGCATTCGAGGCCTTGGATTTGAGCTTCCGGGAGGCTTCGGGCCTTGTGGCGGTGTATGGTAGCCCTATTCGACCCTAGAAGACCCCAAGCCTCCAATGTGTACACATCAGAATCCACGTGGAAGGGAAGGATCTCACTACATTGCTGGAGCGTTTCGGACGGGGGTATTGGATTTGACGCCCTTCGCGATAGGATCATGCGAGAGCTGTGCCTACAAGCCTCTCAAAGCGGTGTTTGTCGGTTGGTGCAACAACGGTTCTGCACACAGACAGCCGTAATGAAGTTCGGTCCCAACCATGTGTCGTCTCACTCGTCATGCCGCATCACATGGTCTTACTTTTGGTCGCGCTGGGTCCGGGTGATAAGGACGCTGGGAAGCTTCAGGTCTCGAAATATGAAGGCAAGCACATCGCAAGACAGCCGTTAGACATTATCGCATCGGTTGGATGCCACGGAAGCCTTCCCTAGCTGCCGCTTCGGGCCAGTCTAATCCAAAGCCGAAATCCCGAACCAGGAACTCGAAGGAACGCATCTGGCTCCTTAAGTGCTGAAGCCCAACACCTGGCCCTAGTGACGCCCTAAATCCGGAATCTCTAGAACTAAAGTTTGAGCGTAAGTCTTGAATCCTACCCCCCCAAGAGCAGGATCCTTGAACCTTAGGCTCAGGTTTGCGAGTGAAGTTGGGACCGACACGTTAAAGGCGGGAGAGTTTGTTGCGCGGCTCAACGCCTGTTAGCACAGGGTTTGCAGTTCTCGTACCTCCAAGCAGCCCAACCACTGTCAGGCCGGATGTGGGAGATGTGTCTGCTTTGCCGCCTGGTGTTGTTTTAGGTTTTAGTGGGCTTCCACATAAAGCCCAAGCCCACTGTGCCGTTTCGGTTGGTTCGTCCTATGGCATGCTGGTTCGCTGCGCGCCAGCTGTGCCATGTCAGCACTGCTTCCTGCTCCGGCCTATTGTGGCTTAGTTGTCCAGTATGCGCGGAGTTTCGGAAAGTGCCCATGTCGGCCCGTTTCCGGGCTTAGGTTCAGAGGTTAAGCGTTTTCGTATGTTTTCGTGATGCTTCTCATGGCGGTCGGGGATACAGAACTGCTGCGATCCAACACGCTAGGTGGTAGTCGTTGTCATAGGGGCCCGCCTCGATGAAACCACTACGGAGTAACCATACATCGCATAGACCTCTTGTGAGAGCACGGAGATGGGAACCGATTGGATGCCGAAGAAGTCGTGATCATTGCAGCTGTTTCTTCACCATTAAAGCATAGAATGGAATCCATTGCGGATCCCACACAGATCGCCTGGATGGCACATCTTGCTCGAGCTTGCTTAACACAGCGTTTGAGCTCAGTCCACGAATGGCCAACTTGTTGGCCTATTCTGCACCTGATCTCTTTTTCACCGCGCCCTACGGCACGCACTTGCACTTTGAATGGCACCTGCAACGAGGCAGAACCCCACGTGGCGGTGCAGGCGAGCTTTCTTCCTAGCTTTGGTGCATGCTTGCTCATTGTACGGTGGAATCACTTCACCATGCAACTCATACCTATGACTGGTGGCCAACTTGCAATAGTAAAATCGGCGCCATGATTTGCGCAACATGTGCCCCGCACGAAGCATATCCGAACTCAAGTTGAAGAAGCTGCAATCCGCATGTCGCCAACCATTTCCCTCACCAAGAGCATCATCCAATCTGCTACGGCGACCAGAACGAGGAAAGAAAAGACTTGAAGTACGATCATGCCATAGCCCAGATCAGCTGTTGCAATGCCAGTCGTCACGAGAACAGTGGTAACTTCTGTGAAATACTGACACCGTAAGCACCCAGGAGGTATTCGAGATCCCAATCCCCAGAACTAACCTCGAATAGGCGTTAGCATCTAAGGACATGCCATACTTAAGAAGATGCCTTGCCCAAGGCCGTGAGGGCCTTGTTTTGGGGCGTCATGATGCTGGCGGCGTTCGGCAGCTTGGTCCGTCATCTTTCAGCCTTGGAGAATCGAAGCGCCCAGGATGGGATGTCCACAAGCTGCACATCCTATGATTGCCTCGTAAGGAGCCGCAGTCTTTCTCCAAATGAGAGCCTTGACAACGTTTCGGGCCTGTGATCCGCTCTGGCCCAGGCATCGTGTCCATGTTTGCCACAAACATCAGCTTTCACGAGAGGACGCACAGGACAACCAGGAGTGGGCTTGGGTGTTGGGGGTTTCTGCAAGAAAGTGCCTTTGGACATCGGGTGTTGCAATGCCCAGTCGCTGCAAACGCACGGACGCATGACCAGCTTGCGATTTCTGAACTCCAGGCCCAATACACCCTACAGGCCGGAGTAATTGGACCAATTGAACCAGGGTGTCGGGGTATGTTAAAATATCAGTTTACAGTGACGAGAACGGAAGATTATCACACATAGCAAGAAGTATTCAGAGCCGAATATGCTATCGGCTATCGCAGGGTCAAAGCCTAAGTGAGAGGTCGGAGCTCTCGTCCTCAACCCCCCGCTCTTGCCCGACAACGACAAAACACTAGCACGTCAACAACACCTCGAACTGAATATTGAACCGAAGGCCCCATATCTCCAAACCCATCAACCAAAACCCCCCAAAGCATACGTCCCTACGTAAGCCTGAAGTTTTTTTGGAGGCTCCTCGTCCTGGCTGACAGTTTCTGGAAAGCTGGCTTCTATAGTGTCTCCATCCTCGGCGACTCGGCGCACGTCCTATGAAAGCATGCTTCCGTCGAATCTCACCCCATGTGTGCAGCGACTTTTGTCTCGGCTTGCTGTCGGATATTGAGCATTCGGGATTAGCTGAGTATTTGAGGGGAAGCGGCCCGTACCGTTCCCTTTTGGACGCCCACGGGTTTCTGCTCTCGGCTGTTAATTGGGAAGCCCAAGCCACGAAGTCTTACACGGACCCCAGAGTTGAGCCGCTGAAGCCGAGAATCTCATGGACCGGACTCCCAAGCAGTAAGCCCTATGTGTCCTCCCCATACCCAAGACTCATGCTTTTTGAAGCCGGTCGTCCCAGGAGTGTTGACGGTGCTCTCTGCCCTGGTCCACGGCAAAAACTCCACAGACCTCCGCCTGGGAGTTTTCAGAGTCTTCCTGTCGGAGCCATAACCCAAACCCTAAACTTCTAAAGCTTTACCGACCCCGAACTCGTCGTGCATTCAAGGTAACTTGTCTCGGACACCGGAAGCCTCGAAGACAGAGGCTCCGAACCCCTCGGAAGCCCAAGCGCTCACAACCCGAACCCCTTCAATCACGGTTTCGCAGGGCCAGGGATCCGCCTTTGACCAGTCCGGGGACCGGGGGTCGGGGTTCAACTTGGATCAGCGCCGTTTCCTCCCAAGATCCAAATCTTCAATGGGTTACCAGGCTGTATTCACCGAAACCTCGGCCCTGAATACGAAAGCCCCGGACGACACCAAGTGCTTTACTGCAAGTGGAGAGACACTGGCCCTGTTGTAGGTTGGAAGCTCTTGGCGCCTAGGTCTTCTGGAAATTGTCGCCTTGTAACAGAATCCGATGAGTCGTGACATGTATGAGCTGCAGCGCCGCAGTTCAATAAATTCCCCAAGCCACCTATAGTCTGAAAGCCGCATGCACGCCCAGGAGGATAGCGTCAAGGACTTCTGGCAGGGGACGTCCCACAGTCTGCAGTGGAAAGGGCCTTCAGTTTCGGCGAAGTCTAGGGTATGTTATGCCACAGTGCAGGGCTGTATTCGAGCCGAAATCCGAACTGAATGCTTCTTCAGGTCTTTTCTGATTTCACCAGGGCCTTAAAGTGCATTATGAATGATATACGCTTGCAGCCCCTGTATAATTATAATTATGATAGTGCCAACGCCGTCTTTCTTCTTAGTGGTGCGGAAAGATTCGTCTCGCGTTTAAAGAAAAGCCCCTCTTTCCCAGGAAGGTTCTCTTACAGAGTCTTTTGCTCGTCCTTCGACTTTTCTCCTGGACCCTGGGTTACCAGGTTGACTCAGTCCGGTTCCGGGTTTAGGGGGGGCTCAGTACCCTACACCGAGGCCCTGAGCAATTTTCAGAGTTCTTGCAGAACAAACTCCCTTGGTGCCAGTACTCAAGATGTTGATGCTGCCAAACACCGGAAGACTGACCACAGGAGGGAGACTAAAAGGTCATGAAGGTGCTTTGATTTCTAGCTTCAGCATCTCGACAGCGACGGAACCTCAACGCTTTTTGCCAACATCCGGAGGGAACGTGGGTGCTTCGGGTACGGCTGGGGTCTTAGGAGGCCGGGAGTGGCTGGTGCCGCTGGAGACACCGAGGTGGTTGGTCGATCGGAAGAGCTTGCAGCAGCGGGGGTTCATCATCCAGCCTTTAGGCCACCTTGGCCATGCTGGGGAATGTTAGAATGTTGCTTCTTTGGGCATGTTTGCGCCAGTTCTTTGTTCTTGCATGAGAAGCAGTCCACTCATAAGCGCATGAGGATTGGGGCGTTTCGTGTCAGAAACTTGGGCCGGAGGTCTCTATTTCCTGGGTGGCTTCCTCTTCATTACGCAGAGACTCGGCCTGGGATGGCCTTTTCTGAAGGGTCGGATTTTTCTCACGGGCCTCCAGTGTCGGAGTGAAGTTAAGAGGTCATGGGTAATAGTTGTATAAGCAGTGATAGTCGGAGAAAGTCTTTTGCAATTTTCGAGCTAGCAGCAACAGCGATCAAATGCACCTCCAACATATGCACTGTCACAGGATTCTACCTCAGTTCTCATCCTTACCAGTCTTCCTATCCGAAAGCACTACGCTGATCCCCCAACTTCCAACCTGAGGCCCTCATGTTTTCGGGCTTGTTGCTTTGCATGATCGTGATGCAACTTTGGGCTTTTGCGGGGTCTTCACTTTGAGAGCTTGAGAGTGTAGCCGCCGAGAGCTTCCAGTATCTCAGGATCCCGTGGCTTCCAGAGAAAACCAGCACCCCTTAAAGAATCGTATGGTTCTGTAGCCACTGCACCAGATGTTGCCGAACCCCGTTTATTATATGGTCGCCCTTGAACCCCAAGCCGCAAAAGAATGAGTCACAAACCACAGCCAGGACCCTGCAATCTTCAGCCTCAATCTCTAAACTCGGGAGTATTGATGATGCCAAGGGTGGTCCTAGAGGAGAAGATCATACCGGGAACTGAGTTGGTATCGCAGAAGTCGGAACGGTGTCTCGGCGTCACATCCAAAGCCGTTGGACTGTAGTGCTTCGCAAACCGTTTGTTGTATCTGCCAACACCACACCACCACGCCACCGCACCACCACACCATCACGCCACCACACCACCACAACACCACCACACCACCACACCACCGCAGCACCGCAGCACCGCAGCACCGCACCACCACACCACCACACCATCGCACCACCATACCACCACAACACTACCACACCACCAAGCCATCAGTAGGAGTAGGAGTAGGAGTAGGCGTAGGAGTGGGAGTGGGAGTAGGAGTGGGAGTAGTAGAAGTAGTACGCGCGTAGTGCATATTTGACGCTGCGTTGTCGTGCACGTCGCCCGCACAAAACACTGTGTTTTCCGATGTACGCAGGACATGGCTTGTCTCAGTCAGGGGGGCGTGGAATTTTGGATCAGGATAGTTGTCAGCAGTTGATTCAGCAGTGTCGGATCATGTGTGTTGTCAGCAGTTACTTGAACTATGCAAAAAAACCTTCATGCCAAGAGCTTCATCTAACTTTTTGTGATACTCTTTTTCAAGCCTCAAGCCGAAACCTTCATGCCAACAGCTTCATCTGACTTTTTGTCGTATCTGTTCCCTGCGTCCCCCCCCACCCCCAACCCCCCAACCCCGAACCCCCCAACCCCCACCCCCCCAAGCCAAGCCAAGCCAAGCCAAAAATAAGTACTGAAAATTTATGCCAAGGCCCTCATAGGAAAAGCAAGGCATTCATAGGAAAAGCAAGGCCCTCATAGGAAAACAAGGCCCTCATAGGAAAAGCAAGGCCTTCATAGGAAAAGCAAGGCCCTCATAGGAAAAGCAAGGCCCTCATAGGAAAAGCAATGCTTATAGGAATGATGTTGATGATGTTCAAGTTCCCCGCCCACCCCCCCCCCCCCTCCAACCCCCCCAACCACAAACCCCCCAACCCCCACCCCCCCAAGCCAAGCCAAGCCAAGCCAAACCAAAAGTAAGTATTGGAAAATTTGTTCCAAGGCCCTCATAGGAAAAGCAAGGCCCTCATAGGAAAAGCAAGGCCCTCATAGGAAAAGCAAGGCTCATAGGAATGATGTTGATGATGTTCAAGTTCCCCGCCCCCCCCCACCCCCCCAACCCCAAACCCCCCTATTCCAAGGCCCTCATAGGAAAAGCAAGGCCTTCATAGGAAAAGCAAGGCCCTCATAGGAAAAGCAAGGCCCTCATAGGAAAACAAGGCCCTCATAGGAAAAGCAAGGCCCTCATAGGAAAAGCAAGGCCCTCGTACGAAATCCAAGGTCTCATCAAACCCAAAGCACAAAGACATCCCCGCTCTCAAGCTCAAACCCAAATCCCAAAGATAGAATTCCTAAGTCAAGGTTTTCAGAATTCCACGCCCCCCAGAGAATTAGTGAAATGTGCTTAAAACTCGAGTTTTGGGCATGTGAAGTAAGGAAATGCATAGCGTCAATTATGCACTACGCTCTAAGTAGTAGTAGCAGTAGCAGTAGCAGTAGCAGTAGCAGTAGCAGTAGCAGTAGCAGTAGTAGTAGTAGTAGTAGTAGTAGTAGTAGTAGTAGTAGTAGCAGGAGCAGTACATCCTTAAAGCCCCTATCCGAATCCCAAGCCCAGGATCTAAACCTGGAGCCCCAAACGGTAGAGACTGTAAGTCCCAAATGTGAGCCCGACACACCTACACACCAAGCAGGGGACATAAACGTTTTGGACGTCGCCACGTTCTTGGTGACGACATCGAGCCCGAGCACAGGCCGGTGGGGGGCTTTGTGTTGTGTGGTGTGTGCTCGTGCGCTCTGGGGCTGCAGGAGGTTGAAGGTTGGGAGCAGAACGACAATATCCTGCGTAGGCCTGGCGTTCTAGGGTTCGTTTTATCCCTACAGGATGTGTCAGCATTTAAGTTAAGTGGGTTTGGGTTTCGATGATTGATAGGAGCTCCGGAGTATAGCTGATCCGGTTTGATTTATCGCCGGCAGACTTTCGGACTTTTCGGCTTAGGCTTGCTGAAGCTGCTAAGGGATTGAGAAGGCGACTTCTCGCTTAGGCTTCATGGGGGTTTTGCCCGGGCTCGCGCAGATCGTCGTGCAGTCCCGTAGTCAGATTAACTTGAATATAAGAGAGAAAGGTCAGCTGCCGTTTGCTTGGAGGTGTTTCTTCCTGGAGCAGGTAGACGGCAAGGTTGCTGCTGATCTCCCCGACACCCACTGGGGGCTGCTCGGGCTGCGTTCTCCTTGCTAGGATCTCGGCTTTGCTTCTTGTTTACAGGGCTTAGTGTTGGCTTCAGGTTGGCGAAATTGTGGCACAGGACATAGTAGTTCTTCTTTTTTCGGCTTCAGCTCGTCGCTTTTTGAGGTTCTGCTCGCTTTTCGCGACCTTCGGGCTTTACGCTTCATCTTGGCGTTCGTGCAGGTCTGATGCGATGCCTCATAGTTTGGTGACCAGTGCTTTGAACATCCGTTCTTTCGCTACTTCCAGCCATCGAGATAGGCCCGACACCTCGCCTACGTGTTGGAGATCTCAATGCTGACATCTACTCCGGAATCCAAAGCCCACCCAAGAGGTCCACAGCCTAGATCAAGCCTGCACCTGCTCCCCTGTTTGCCGGTGCCTGTAAATCGCCTGAATAAAAGATTCCAAGGACTCCGCCCTACGCGAAGCTGCGGCAGTTCATGTTCAGCGGAAGGTGCCTGGCTTGGCTCACACACAAGTTCAAGAGAGCTCAAACCTGACGGGGCTGTGTGCGTGTGCGGCACAAAGAGCACTGGATCTTGGAGTCCAGCACTGTGTGAAGACTCTGTTGACGATGGCTTAACCCGAAACTCTGGAGCGCTAGGCCCTAGACGCTGAGACACTAAACCCTGGGGTCGAAACCTTGACTCCCTACACACCACGAAGGAGTGGCCAGGAGACACTGGAGCAGGCACAGTGCCCCGGCTCGGAGTCTGGGATCGTGTTTGGCTGGCTCGACTCGAGACTTCGCACTTGCGAGGGAGAGAGAGAGGGAGAGAGAGCAAAAGGAAGTCTGAGGAATGCGAGGGTTTCGTTGCGTAAGGATCAACCACTACACCAAGTCCGATCGAAGCGTGCTCTCCTACCTGGATGCCCTGTGGGGTCCTTCAGCGCGAAGACGGGCGCTACCCTACATGCCTTGGACCCCAAACTTCCCATCCAGATTCCCACACTCCTAATCGCCTAAACTACACACCTCAAGCCTCTGATCGAAATATGCCTCCAACATCGAAGTTCCCTCCTTCCTGTTGGAGATTGTAGGTTCAGGTTAAGGATTTGCACGGTTTCGGTAGAATCTAGCCTTTCTATCGTGGTTGTTACTTTTGTTGATGCTGGTGGTGGTGGTGGTGGTGGTGGTGGTGGTGGTGGTGGTGGTGGTGCTTGTGGTTGCTGGTTGTGGTTGTGGTTACTATTGTTGCTGCTGTTGTGCCAGTTGCAGTCGCAGTCGCTGTGGCTGTTGATGTCGCTGTTGCGGTTGCTGTATTGCTGTGCCTGCTGCTGCTGCTGCCGCGGTTGCAGTGGTAGTCGTGGTGGTGGTAGTAGTAGTAGTAGCAGTAGTAGTAGTAGTAGTAGTAGTAGAAGTAGTAGAAGTAGTACAAGTAGTACAAGTAGTACAAGTAGTAGTTAGTAGTTATAGTAGTAGTAGTAGTAGTAGTAGTAGTAGTAGTAGTAGTAGTAGTAGTAGTAGTAGTAGTAGTAGTAGTAGTAGGGAGCGACCTGGTCGTTTGCCCACCCTTCTTTCCTCCTGTACCCCCTTGCCCGCCCAGGTTCGTCTTCCTCGTGGCCATGGTGTCATGCATACATGTAACCGACGTACATACGTACATACGTACATACATGCATTTGTACATGTATACTTACATACATGCATTCATGTATACGTGCATACATGCATTTCCGCATGTATACCGGCATGCTGACATGTATACCTACATACATGCATGCATACGTGCATACATGCATTTGCGCATGTATCCGACATGCTTACATGCAGCATGCATGCCTACATGACGTTACAGTACATTGATACATTGCATTACATGTCATGCACCCTTGAAACCCGCAGCTCTGCCCTGAAGCCCTTTTACAGGCTCCGGGGGTGAGGAGCTTTGTGGGTGCTGTTGCTGCAAACAACAATCCGCGGGCAGGGCTTCCTGTGTGTTGCACTTGCCATCGGTCGTGCAGTTAACGCAAAGCTGACAGTTTTGATCAACGTGCCTCCGCGTAAAGCCATGTCGGGGTTCGGTGCATGGCTTTTCGATGCCCCTCTGTTGAACGAGGTCTCTTGCCCTGTGAAAGTTTGGGGTCTTGGGCTAACAGTATCCTCAGCTTCAGGGTTTAGGTTTTGTTGAACTCGTGGGGCTGGCCTCCGGTCCTTCATCAGGAGCTCGCTGCTACGGCGGCCCAGCCTTACAGACGGACTTGGCCAGCAGTGTCTGCGGACGAACAGAAGCCCGCCTTCCGGGGTTCCGTGCTCGGGGATTCCATGGAATCTTCGTTTCCCACAGATGAGGACTGCTTCTCGGGTTGACTGTATAGCGAGTTCGACGGGCCCAATTTTCCCGCAGGAGCTTCTGGCCGCCTGCCTCCAAGCGGAAGAGGTTTCCGCACAGTCTGCAGCATAGTGTTTGTCACTGCGCGTAAGTTTCGTGAGGGCTGCTTCCGGAGCTCCGTCACTCTGTGTAGCTCTAGAAGCTTGTAGACAACGGGGTCTGCAGCTGGACTTTCCCTCTCCGTCTACTGCTTGGCGTCACCGCCTACTAGACCCTGACGCTGGCGATGTCGCTTTGTCTCCCACGGCCGAGCACGACTCACCGCACTCGCGACGGTTGAAAGGCTACGACAGGATGCTTCGCCAGAAGGAGCTTCTGCTGAAGCCACTCGCCTACACGTGTTGCTGTGCGTGTTTCTGGCAGCTCTCCTGTGCACCTTGGTAGTCCTTTAGAGGTGCCAGTCTGCACGGCTGCTTCCGCCCCTCTTCCTGACAACTGGTGCCGCCTCTCCACCCAGGACGTGCTGACACTCTTGTTTTTTGCCTGCCGATGCTGCAAGCCTTTCAGGAGCTCGAAGCAGATCCTGCTGTACAGGCGGGGATCGCGGCCGCTTTGCTTCCTGTGTCGGAGCGATTGGCGCCGTATGTGATGGGGCGTTCCAAAGTTCGAAATTTTAAGTGGGGCGGCCACGAGCATCAGATGATGTACAAGAACGGACGGCGCCACTGCCGGGCGTTGCTGCCGCATATCTACAAGAGCGGCCCTCAAAGAGGCCGCCTCTTCTTGGTCTGCAGCAATTTTTGGCGAGAGCCAAAATGTTTCTATCGGGAGAACTTTCCTATGCAGCGCTTTTCGGAGTTGCCGCAGTTTCTACAAGAGGAATACAATTCCTTGGACTCTTCCTTTCAGCGCGGCTCACGTCCTGCTTGCTAGAAAAGATTCGAACGGTCAGCGGCTGCAGGTGTGGCTCAGTACCGCTGTAGAGCACGATGTGGTACCATTTTACCTTGTGAGCTGTGAGCACGCACGAGATGTGCCACCGTTCATGCCATCCTGCAGGCTCCTTCTCGGCTCGGGGTTCGCCATGAAGTGCAGACTGAAGCAGCCGGTCTTGCGTTATGCGAATGGCCGCATAAAGCCAGTGTCGAAGACACAGGCAAAGCAAGATGCCATCAACTCAGAGTTTCATAAACAAGGCTTGTCGTACTCGGGGGGGCGCAAGCCCTCCTGCACGAACAAGTTGCGTGCCTTGCGGCAAGTGTCCTTCCCCTTCCCTGAGCTTTGTTCCTGGTCACCGAAGAAGTGCGAGGCAAACACTTGGAGACTGTCTTGTTTTCACATGCAGGTTTGCAAAGGTTTCCGTTCAATAGCTTTGCCTTTCGCCATAGATGCCCTTCAGGCTTGGCTGGCACGACAGAAGTTCTTTGGCACGCAAGCACAGCGACTTTGCTGGAGCTGCCGCACACCTCTCCGCAAGACAGGCACTCCGCCACGTTTCCGCAAGAGCAATAGTCAACCGAATTTCCTGAAAGCCTAAACCCTGCTAGGCACTTCGTTCATCTTGCGATGTGGAAGCAAAGCTTGTCCAGCTCACCGACCCAGCACTCCGTTTCAATCACATGTTGCTTCACTTTCTTTTTTGTTTTGCTTTCTAAGTTACGGTTTAGGATGTCTTGGTTTATGCTAGTCTAGGTTTCGACTAACTTGGATCCTGATTCCCAGACCCTGAACTCTAACACCCTCAACCCCAAAACCTAATCTTGATGCCTAAAGCGTTAGCTTGACAATATTTCGAGGAATCAACTGGAAGTATGCCTACACTCCCTGCTACGGTTTGCTCTCCGCTGGCTATGATGCAGATTGTCGAGGCATCTTGATTTCGCTCAGAGAATCGCCCAGGATTCGGCATGATAGGACGATCCCGCGACTTTGTGGATCGGGTCTACGGACAGTGTCGCCTGGCAACTGCCTTCGCGCAGATGGAGGCCAACCTCAAGGTCGTCTTCCCTGCAGGCATCGTCGAGTGGGACGGAACGAGAAGCGCGGGGTCCAAAGACAAGTCCAAGAAGCAGGTCACCCATGTCGGCCGGTTCCTCATCGGCTGCCATCGGAGCACCGACCACAAGGTCTTTCTGCCGTTGCCGAACAGAACCACGAAGCTGGGTGCACCAGGCCCGCCTGCTTGCAGAGCCTGCTTCAGTCGACTTTTCATGGCGCTCTGAAATGCTGCTACTGTCACTGCAGGTATTTTCGGTTCAAACATTCCTTGCAATAGCAACATGTCATGTCCAGTGGATGACGATTTTGTCCTGGGTCTAGGGGCTGCACTCGCAGCAGCTTTAGACCTGGCCTTCCCTCATGTGGATGCTCGCACACTTTGGAAAACGCGGTTCCTGGGCCTCGCTCTGAAAGTAACTCAGGCTTCTTTCGCACTCCGATGCTACTTGGGGCCAAGCCAAAGCCAGGCCGATCTCCATGTTTTGACACTGGCTGCTTCAGCCCTGGCTGCCTTGGACGCAAGTGAAGATATCATCACTGTCAGGCCTATCGAGTTTGCGCGCTTGGAGTTTGCCGCGGACCATGCTTCCTTTCGGCAGCAGGTGCGGAAATGGGCGGGCCATCAGTGGAGATGCTGCCTGGAAGCCTTGTGTGCGGACATCGGCAAGGTTCTCTTGGAAACTCAGCGTCGACAAGCACTCTTCGAGCACACCGTTGCCTTGCGAAAACTTTTTGTGGCATGGAGCAAAATCCTGGAAGACATAGCTCTCATGGGCACCGGCCTCTTGCTCGTGCCAAACACTGTCGAAGACAGTTTCTAAAACGCTCGCAGACCGCTAGGAAAAAGAGCTCTGAAACTGCTCTCTTGGCATCGCTGTTTGGGCTTCCTGCCGTTTCATATGAGACCTAAACGCTGGAGCTCCTAGCCTAAACCCTCAGCCTGTCAAACCCGAAAACACACCTCGAACCACCTACACGAACCCATTACCCTTGACAGGCCCGCCAGAGAGCGCCGAAGAGGTCAAGCACTTGATCGCGGCGAAAGTCTCGAACAAGCAACACGTGATTGGCAGTGATGCAGGCAAAGGCTTGGCCAAGGCTTACCAAGAGCTCGGTCTGTCCGCTGCTACAGCAGCGCACAGCCGCAACCACTTTACTCCAACCACGAAGTTGGGCCAAAGCTTGGAAAGACAGCTTTGAAATTCCTCGCTAGCAAAGCCAGAGCCAAGATCTCCTCTCGGTCCGTTACCCTTGTAGGGGGGGACCAGAGATGCGAGGCCTTGGCAGGAAGCATGAAGCGCATGCTCCGTCGTCTGGGTCTCCTTGGGAAGGGTTGTCGGACAAAGTCCCACATCCAAGGCTTGTCAGCTGTGTTCCTGAGTGAGAACGTCGGCCTCGAACCCGTCGTGCAGGCTTTCACTTCTTTCCGCGCGGCCTGTCAGCATCGCCTGCCGCCGAAAGACCAATGGTCCCAGACAAATTTTTTGACCTTGGGCTGAAGACACAGCTAAGCGTGTGTGTCAGCGGGCGTGAAAGCGAACCAAGCACTAATCTTCCAATCTTGTTTCGACTAGTCCCAAAAACACGTAAAGCGACAAAGTCCGCGACGAAGTTGGAAGGCAGTGCAAAGCGCTTTCTTGAACGAGAGTGACAGGGCTTCGACAGCAGAAAACACCGCCCTGGCCGAGGTTTTCGTGTCCTCACTCTTAAGCCTGCCCTCAGCCTTACATCTTTGGCAGCACACAAAGCCTGCTCCAAACTTTCCAATTCCGATGTCATGTGCGACACCTTTGCAGACGCCATATCTCTCGTAATTACCGACTAAAGTCAAGCAAACGCAAGAACAACGGTGGGCAAACGATGTGCCTTGTGCCTAGTAGTACTAGTAGAAGTAGTAGTAGAAGTAGTAGTAGTAGTAGTAGTAGTAGTAGCAGTAGTAGTAGTAGTAGTCGTGGTGGTGGTAGTAGTAGTAGTAGTAGTTGTACTACTAGTGGTGGTGGTAGTAGTAGTCGTAGTGGTAGTAGTAGTAGTAGTAGCAGTAGTAGTAGTCGTCGTAGACGTAGTAGTGGTAGTTGTAGTAGTGCTCGGCGTCGGCAGCGCTGTCGTGCCAGTAGAAGTAGTAGTAGTAGTAGTAGCAGTATTAGTAGTAGTAGTAGTAGTAGTAGTAGTAGTAGTAGTAGTAGTACATGCTCGGATCCTAGGATCGATGCTGGCACATTGAAGTTTTTGATGGGGTGTCTCAGACATCGCTGCTTCGGTAGCCGGGCCAAGCTCGCCGACCCGCTAGGCGGACCCCTGGACGTTCGCCGCGATTGGAAGGAAGGAAGGAAGGAAGGAGTAGTAGTAGTAGTAGTAGTAGTAGTAGTAGTAGTAGTAGTAGTAGTAGTAGTGGTGGTAGTAGTAGTAGTGGTAGTAGTAGTGGTGATAGTGGTAGTGGTAGTGATAGTGGTAGTGGAAGTGGTAGTGGTAGTGGTGGTGGTGGTGGTGGTGGTGGTAGTGGTGGTGGTAGTAGTGGCAGTGGTAGTGGCAGTGGCCGTGGTTGGCTGTTGGTTGTTGGATGTTGGTTGATGGTAGTGGTTCGCTGTTGGTTGGTCGTTGTTGTTGGTTGTTGGTTTGTTGTTTTTGTTGGCAGCGCGTGCCTCTGCCGCCGCGCGGATTGGAGCGATTTCGCGACTGACTGGCATGTGCTGAAGCTCCAGGTTTGGCACTTTGCTTACCCGGAATTGATTTTGCGTTTGGTTTTCGCATCGGTGTTTGTTTTGGTTTTGCCGACTCTGGACTTTTTGCACATGGCAGCTTACACTTCCATTTGTATTTCAGCTCTGTGCCGGGGTTGGGTTGGAAGGGGGGTTGATGACGTCCATGCGAATGCGGATTGTGTGTTGTGTTTCTCTTGTTGACCTTGCTCTAGTGCGGTACATTGGTGGGGAGGGGAGGGGAGGGAAGGGGGATGGGGGGGTTGATGACGTCCATGCGCATGCAGCGGCTGATGTGTTGTATTTCTCTTGGTGGGGAGATGGGGGACGGATGGCGGCATTTCGCTTCGGTTTGCGCGGCGTTTTCCTAAAGATTCCGGGCAGCACTGTGCCGACCCTCGACTTGTCGCATTTACTTCCATGTGCATGTATTTGACCTCCGTGCAGGGGTGGGGGGGATGGGGGGGGTTGGCTGATGACGTCCATGCGAATGCGGCTTACATGTAACGTTCCTCTTTCTGCTCTGTGCATTGATGGGGAGTGGGGGATGTTGATGATGTTGATGTTGTTTTGCATGATGTTGGAAGATAACAATGGCGATGACGATAGCTACGGTAATAACAATAACAATGACAATGTTGCTCCCTGTTGCCCTGGTTGCTACCTTACCTGTAAAGACGCCACCAATACAAAAGCCACTAGTGTTTTCCAGGCTTTCCAGACAAAAACTTCGCGGACCCCCAAAATCAACAAACATACAAGATTAAAAGTATGGTATTTGCGACACTTTCGCAAAAACCTCACCAAACAACAAGACCAACCTACCACGGAAACAACAACTCCGAAACATCGTCTTTTTGACGAAAACCAGACAAAATTCGAGGTTTTCAAGCTTTTCACGAAAAATACCTCCAACAACTAAGCGACACACCCCGCGCGGTGGCAGACGCACGCGTCACCTTGTCCTCGTTGTTGTTGATGTTGTTGCTCCTCCTGTTCCTCGTCCTCGTTTTCTTCGTCGTCCTCGTCTCAGCCGGTGGCGCTATTGAGGCTGGTGCTGGAGTTGTTGTTGTTGTGGTGGATGCTAGTTCTGTCGTTGTTGCAAATTTCCATTCGCATGGTCATGTCCTTGTCGGGAGTCTTCTTTTCTACTTAATGTGTGCGCCAAGCAAGGTTCGATCAGTCGAGCAAAGTAGCTGGTTGTCCGGTGTCGCGAGTACTTGCTGGTTTCCAGGTGCAATACGATCTATTCAGCCATGCGGTGTTTCAGGGTCTCGGACTTAGGGCGAATGACTCCGAACTTGGGGGGGGCAAAGCTTCAAATCAGCCACAGGTGAGCACATGCGCAGGATACCACCTTCGCAGCTGTCTTCATGCTTCTCATCTGGAATTTTTTGATGAGCAGCCTGGGTGGACTTCTTGCACGTACAGCCATGACGAGTCCCACACCTACCCCCTGCCCTCTTGCCCGCCTTGAGGCTATTATGCCGAGGATACTATCATCTCATTTGCACTGAACCTCCCCACCGATGCGCCTCGGTGGTGTCTGTGATGTTTCCTACATGCTGTACTCGGGATTTCTGACTCGTGCTGCGGCCAAGGGGACTGTGGTTGTAGGACAACTGCTATATTGAAGTTCCGCAAGTCAGAACATTCAAAGACTGCAGGTCTCGCAAGCAGTAAGGTAACCAGAAGCCAGATTGAAGCTGCGAACTTTGGGGCCCAACTAATGCCCTATCGGTGTCTTTAACAGTTCCCGAAGGCTCATCTCCGAACGGCATTCGTTACTGGGGAGCTGTCTTGTAGACGTGATGCTGCAATCGAAACAACAGCAGCATGTAGTGATGGCATCAACCTAACGAAAAGAGGACTTAACTGGAGTAGCAAGAAGAAGGTGGTTACACACGTGTTCCTCTGGGTCGACGCTGCAGCCAGGGATTCTCACAAGAGCTTCGGGCAGCCACTGGAAAAACCAAGAGCATTCCAAATCATAGAAATGTTGAGGCTGCTGTCATGGGCAATCATGGCAGACAACAACAAAACCAAAGCCTGCGTAGCATGCTTTCCTTGCCTGGACGACAGAAGGATTTCAACGTAAAATCGCTGCTGAATGTCAGCAGCACGAACAGCAGCCGCCCAGAAAATTTCAGCCGCCTAGCTTCGTTCTCTCTTGCAGGTCTCGGGGTGTTGGAGCTTTGCAGTGAATCGTGTAGGCTTTGAGTCTTTGAGTTTCAAGTCTAAGATTATCTGAAAAGCTTCGGTTGTTGGGCTGAGGGATTTATGAACCTGAACTCTGGGTTGCCTCTGAAGCCATGTGCTGGAACAAATGTTCTGCTGTGTCAGACAGGTTGATGCATCTTCTGTATATTGCTGCGGACGTTGTTCTCAGCCAAGATTCCTTGCAGCGATCCTGAATAGCCCAACTCTGAAGCTCTATGCCAAGCGCCGCAAGCCACCATGTGGATTGGTGCATCAGTTCATCTGTTGTCTTTCGCATGTGGTTGTTGTGAACTATGGTCTTGTCACTGAAAAGTCACCTTCAACGAGATCTCGGGCAACCAGCCAGAATCAAGCCGAACCACTTCAAGCTACGCCAGTTAAACGGAGAATCGAACCAGAAAGTCTTATCTAAAAGAGTGCCCTGTCCAAAAGACAGCGTGTCTAACAGAACACCATGCTAAACAGAAGCAGCATGTGATATCAAGCATGACAGGACAGTAAATGATTCTTAACAGCAGTATACCCGTGTACGAATGTGTTTGTATGTGTGTATATCCACATATATGTGCATAATACCCCACGCACACATATATATATATATATATATGTATGGAGAGTGTGTTTATGTACATGACGAGGTAGACATGCACATGTAAATCTGTACGTACAGAAGCATGTCCACAGTAATGTCTATGGAACATGACAAAAATAAATAGTATGTGTGTATGTATACATAGGTTCACAGCTGTATGGAATTTTACATCCCGAAGCTCCGAGAATCCGCCGAATGCCCAGAATTTGCACCGGCTTACCTTGGCGCCGACGGTTGGCCCTGGAATCGGCGCATTCTCTTTGCCAAAGATTACATGACGGCACCCTGACTTTTCATGAGTTCAACCAGTTGGTAATGTCCTGCTCCCACGCCTTATCTTGGAACTTGGAAGACATTCCAGCCCTGTCCAGGGCTGCGAGATTGTGGTGCGTTTTGGACCTGAAAACCGTAATCGCAAGTCGCAAAGCCCGTGATCCAAAGCCCCAATCCTTCAGAGTCTTGGCACTGTCGCCTGGACGTGTTGAGTGATCGCACGCGTCCCAAGGCTTGCCTGTACGTGTGCTACAGCTGGGCGGACGGCTCTGCGGCATCTCGGTTGGAGACTTCATCGCTGTTGAATGATGCTACTGCCGATGGTCTCGATGATGCTGCTGCTGATAGTAGTACAGTGGTAGTAGCAGTAGTGCAGTAGAAGCCCACGTCGTATCTCGATCTTGCTAGCTCTCTCTCTCTCTCTCTCTCTCTCTCTCGCTCTCTCTCTCTCTCTTTGTATCTCTCTCTCTCTCTCTTGTCTCTGTTCTCTGTCTTTCTCTCTCTCACTCTCCCCTCTTTCTCTCTCGTTCGCTCTCTCTCTCTCTCTCTTTTTCCTCGCTCTCTCCCCTCTCCCTCCCTCTCTCTCTCTTTCTCTGTTTCTCTTCCTCTCTCTATATGTGTATGTAAACGTGCTGGTGCCCTTGATGTAGCAGAACTGCAGCTGCACTTTGTGACCCAAACATTCCGAATAGAGAACCTTCTAGTTTTGGTTTTACCACACATGAAGCACGACATGTCGCTAAATCTTGAAACCTTGAGGGCAAAGCCCCAAAGCCTCCCCAATTCTAAAGGTTGAGACACGAGACTTGAAACCCAAATGATAAAGCCTGAAGCCCAAAAGCACTCAGGTTGCGAAGCTTTTGGAGTGCGGCATGGTCATCGGTGGCGGCCTGACAATTGTGCTGATTGCAAACGCAATAGGACCCTGAGAAGGCTTTTGTGGGAATGTTTTTTTGTTATGCTTACTGGCTTATGAGGATCTCACACGGAGAGGATAGGTTTTGAACTTTCTGAAGCCCTCGCAGGATTTCTTTTTGATATACTTGCTGAAAAGCTGAACTTCCCGGCCAGCGAGACACCTGTACAGAGAACCCTCGAGCATACCCCCCGCCCTTGCAGATCAACCTGAAGCTTCTGTCTCGCGAAAATCAACGTCTGCTATCAGCCTCCTTGCTGTTTCCGCAACGCCAGGACATCAATTGGGCTTCTTGGCCAGATCACTGGTTCCTATCACGGGATTGGGTCAGAGGACTGCATGTCGAACTATTTGTTTCTATGGCATAGTTCTAGGTAGGTTCTTTGTCATCACACATGTCGGTAGGTTGGCAGCAGCCCCGAAAGGCCGCAATGCCGCAAACTCGCAGAGACCTGCACCTGTCTTGTCTGGTTCGCGATGTATGGCCTTCTATGGTCCAGATTCTTACATTCTGTATTGTTGCAAGAGCTGTGGCCATCATCGAGCTACCAAGGACCCTGAGTCACCCTTAGAGCCTGCATTTTACGCTCGAGCCGTCAAGCGGTACCGCTTAGACCTCCACAAGAAGAGTGAAGGAATGTGCCTCAGGCAGCTTGCTCATCACGCACTCCACGCAGCCAAACGAGCTGGTGCAGGCAAAGCCCGAAAGCCTAAAACCCTTGACCCCTTTATCCCTTGAGCCTTTCAGCGCTGAAACCCTAAACCCAAGAGATAAAATCGAAGAGAAGGGCTTCCTGGAAAGCTCTTCGAAGCTCTTCTCTCTTCGACTCCGGACTTCAAGAGATTTCTAGGACCCTAGGAGGCAGCGGTAAACCCGATGCGATGGGACCGTCTGAACCCAGGATCCTACAAATAGAGCCCCACGCGGCCTGAGCCCTGGATCTTTGCTGTTCCGGACTTCAGCACTGAACTGTGAAGCCCAACTCGGATCAACATGATAGCAACAACAGCAATGCCAATAGCCAAGAGCAGTACTTCCTGCGAACATGAACGATAGTGGCAGTTGTGTTGCCACCTGGGCCGAACCACCAAACTAATATTGAAAGCTGATTGTGGGAAACCCCCCACGTATGGTTGATGAATGCTGGTGATGGAGGCCATGTTGAGAGACTTCCGGGTGCTTTGGTACGCTCGGCGCGCGATGATCCAGTCTCTTGGACGCTTGGGATGGGCGCGTCCATGACCCCAAGTCCGCGAGTCCCAATCCCCCCGACAACCTTGAACTTCAAGTCAAGCACACTGGCACACTCAGGTTCTCCTGTCCGGGTGGACTCAAGCACCTGAAGCTCGAGGCGGAACAGACAAACCACGACAAGACAGAAGGATACGGCCCTGTCACTTTCGGGTTTCAGCTTGCTTGAGGCAGCCCATCACGAGAAAAGAAGCCCTCACGGACCTTTGTGGCTGTCTTTCCCGTGTCTTCATCTTCCTACCCATGTCAAGAGCGCATGCACACAGTATGTATGTATGTAAGTATGTATGTACGTATGTATGTACGTATGTATGTATGTATGTATGTGTCCATGTATTTGTGTACCCATGCATCTATGGACCAATGTTCCGATGTGTTCATATGCCTATGTGCCTTTGTGTCTATGCATCGATGTATCCACTCATCTGTGTACAGTGTGTCCATGTACGTATCGATTTGTCCATCTGTCTATCCATCTATCTAGCTATCTATCTAACCCATTATGCTATCTATCTATCTATCTATCTACGTCTTTCTGTCCGTCCGTCTGTCTGTCTGTCGCTCTGTCTGTCTGTGAGTCTTTGAGTCTGTCTCTCTGTCTGTCGGTCTGTCTGTCTGTCTTGTCCTGTCTGTCTGTCCGTCCTGTCTGCAGGACTGTATTCACGCATGGGGCAATTGATTTCTTTGCGGTCCGCTTCCAAACGCTACACCCTAGACACGACAACAGAAGCCCTGAAGCCCCAAAAGCCATGACTCAGAGTTTGCAGAATGACCCCGAGCTCAAGAAGCTGGAAGACACCTTCCGGATGTTCACGCGGCTCGCGTGGCAGGCCCGGGAAACTGCTTGGGATCCTTGGAGGGTCCTGGGGAAGTTCATGTCAAGCGATTTGGTTTGAGTTACCATGAGAAGTGCAGTATACCTTGCTTCAAGTGTATCCGCATAATGTGAAATCGTACATCAAGTTGTCCAGACGGCTGGCCATGTTTCGACAGCATGGTCGTTGAGAGAGTTAGGTTTAGGATTCATAGGGTTTAGGGTTTGCATGGGGCTGACGTAGATTGGGGATATGGGTTCCAGATCGCTTGGGGACCGTGTCGGACTTGGGTGCAAGGGCCTATTGATGGTGTAATTAAGGAGCCGCTTGGGGGAGAGCGACCTGTGGGGATGGTTCCAGATGTTGAAGTTTAGAGGATTCACGGTTGAGGCTTTAATTTAAAGGTCCCTTAATCGCATGTTGTGGTTGCCGTAGTCACAGCGTTGACCAGTTTGAACCCTTCTGATTTACGGGTCTGAATAGTCTTCGATGACATACTTCAACTTTCTGGGGTTTCACCTCGTTTTATGAGATGCAGGTTCTTGAACCACCATTGGTTGGCCTTGTAATTGTTGCGTCTGTTGGCCCCGACGCTGCGTCCAGCTTCTGCCAAGAATAGCGCCGGGCTCTGCAACCTGCGTGGCTTTGGCGGATCCAAACGCGGAGCCCGAGTTTGATCCTGCTTGGACTCGCCCACTGTGGATATTACCCTCCGAGCCCGTGCATGCGTCCTTCCTTACATATGTGTTTGTGTATGTGTGTATGTATGTAACTATGTGTGTATGTATGTCTGTCTGTGAGGTGACATGCGCATGCACCTGTACATACACATGGCTTCTGTATGCCAGGCTGTCTTGCAAGTTTATCGTGGACTAGAAGTGAACTTGAGGGAAGCCTTATCATCTCAGAAGTGTTTTTGTGCCGATTCCACTCGCACTCACTTCCAAGGCGCTGGGGTGGATCTTCCTGAAGCTCGCGCTTGCCACCGTTTTGGTTTTCAAGCGCCTCGGACGGGGATTGGAGAGCAGCAGGTCTGGGAGGCTGGGGTCTTCGAACTGGGGGAGCGAGGACCCGCCGAAAAAATCCAAAGGTCTTAAGTCCTAGACCTAGACTACTAGACCATGATACCCAGACCACCCGAAACCTTAAACCCCGAAAGCTGAATCCCCAGACCCAGGGCAGACAGCAGTTCAATAGACCAGGTAGGTTCTTGCAGAGCTTAGATGACAGAAGCCTGCCCCAGAGCGCTCAGGCCCGGTCAACTCCCCTGAAGCCGTAGTTTTCTGGACAACACGCCGAAGAGTGTTCCCGTGCTCCAAGCTCCTAGCTTCGAAGGATTTATCGGCCGCTGGCCATCCGCTACACTGACTCGCTGGCTGATCGGGCACTCCTGAGGTGCTTACTGCCGCCAGGCGGTTTCTGGCGGCGGAGTTTGGGTTGTACCGGCTTTTCGGATTGGGGTTTCTGGGCGTTGGCAATTTCTTCCGATAGAGGTTGATGGTTTTGGGTTAGTTTGAGTTGGGAGTACACCGCTTGATCAGGGTTCTGGGCACAGGGGGGTGTGAATTCGAGTCCACCGCCTCGGGTTGAAGCTGCGATGCAAGCAGAAGAGAAGGTTAGGGCTTGGGAGGCCAAGCCCTTCAGGCACTAAACTTAAACCGAAGAAGCCTATCAAGCCCCCACCATCAACAATGAAGCCCATGCCCAAGGTATCTCAGCGTCTTCAACCTTGCCCTTCGATCGGTTCTGTGCTTCACGAAGAAGGCTTTGGCATCGGGGTCTGCGAAATTGCCAGTTAAATCTTCGAATGGACCTTCGGGTGTAAGGGTTTAGTGAAGGTCTTGCGAGTCTTGCGGGGTTGAGTCATTGAGGGTTACGAGCTCAGACAAAGTGAGTTGATCGACACGGGTGTTAAGCGGATGTGTACACTTCGGACCAATATGGGTTGCACGGGTTGATACGCAGATTTTCCAGAAAGGAGTGTCTGATGTCGTGTAGCCGTCTCCTCATACCTCTATACAGCACATGCACGGTCAGGGAGCAGAGAGCAGAAATATGGATAGGCCAGCGGAGAGCCGTACAGTGGCAGGCACATTCACATACACTTTCGGACAATCTTGCACTCATCCTTGGATGAATACACACAAGCAAACAAAGATTCATTAAGTGCATCGTATTTTGTCTTATTCGGATACACGGCCGTTTGTTTTCAGGCTGCTTGGAAGCGCTTGGGAGGCTTTCGCCTGCAGGCTTGGACCACAGGTTACATAAGGGTGTAGCTACAGGGCCTCGTTTAAGCTACCAGAGCACAGAGAGAGAGAGAGAGAGAGCGAGACCTGTATATGTATACATATATATATATATATATGTCTGCAGTACAAAATGTGCTTTCTTTTGTTATGACATTATGGCAGCTTGAGTCAAGTTCCAAAGCCGCCAATGCGGATGCTTTCAGCTCGAACCCAGTTCGACGTTTAGTCGTCTGCAGATTTTTCCGCAGGTTTGGAGCGAAGGAGAAGACGACAGTTTCTACCACCAAAGAAGCTTGGCTTGTGGCTTCCTTTGCTTTAGGCCGCTTTTTGTTCTGAGGGTGTTGGTGCTTCGATTGTGGCAGTACTCTTCTGATTAGCAGTTTCAACAAGCTCTTTTCATGGAGTGACCGCCATGATTCTGGACAAACCTCTGAGGATCCTTCATACTCCCCCAAGCCTTCAACCTTAAACCCACCCCATCCTCATCCGGCGGGTCTCCGAGGCCCAGCTGCACTCGCTTTGCCTCTGGATGCACCACAAGCTCGCGCGTCGAGTTCTGACTCTGAGCGAACAGGCATGGTCAGCAGCTTGGCGGAATGTGGCGACGTCGGGTTCAGGATAGAGTCAGAACTACAAAACCATCTTCGCATGCTGCTTCTACCATTGATGATGTTTTGGTTGCGACACTGGCCAACAGTTCAGACATAACGTTCCACCATGCATGCTAGGAGGTTTGCCTTGCCTGTGGGTTGCTGGGCCTTGGCACCAGTCATGCCAGCATAACAATAAACAAGCAGGCAGCACCGTTCTGGTGCCATGGTGCTTGTCCTTCTGCTACTTCTACTGCTACTTTTGCTACTGCTACTACTGAAACTACTGCTACTACTGAAACTACTGCTACTGCTGCTACTACTACTACTGCTGCTACTTCTACTACTGCTGCTACTACTGCTACTACTACTACCTTTGCCACGACTCCTACTACTGCTACTGCTACTTCTTCTGCTTCTACTACTACTACTACTACTACTACTACTACTACTACTACTACTACTACTACTATTACTACTACTACTACTACTCCTCCTCCTGCTGCTGCTGCTGCTACGAGTACCACTACTACTACTACTACTACTACCACTACTACTACTACTACTACTACTACTACTACTACTACTACTACTACTACTACTACTACTAGTACTGCTACTACTACTACTGGCAGTGGCACTGGCACTGGTGCTGGCACTGGTGCCAGTACTAGTACTACTTGTACCACCTATCGAACATCGAGTTGGCTGCTATGTAATTCCTACTGCCGCCCTCAGCCTACGACCTCTACGAGTGGATATCGCTCAGTGGAGACGAGGCTGGTACAGTGTGCGGTGTGTCAAACCTAGAAACAAGAGTTGATTCAAGTCCGAAGTCTTCAACCCTCAGCCGCAAGCCCCAACGTCTTGAATTTCAGATCTCCAGCCCGCAACTTTCCGGCAAGTGGGGCGTCCGGCATCCTGTAGTGGACTTGGAAAGCGAACGAAAGACACGCATGCATGTACTGGGGCATGCAGTCTGACATTTCCCGCGTCCATGCATACTGATGTCATGGTCGTCAGCATGATTGTCGTGATCTTCACAGCTACATCATCGTCACCATCCTGCCCATCCTCTTGCTCCTGCTCCTCATCGTCATCATCGTCAACGTCGCCATCGTCATGAGCGTCGTCGTCATCGTCATTATTATCATCACATCTTCGTCATCATCACCATCATCATCATCACCATCACCATCACCATTACCATTGCCATCACCATCACCACCATCACCAGCATCACCACCACCATCATCATCGTCATCGTCGTCGTCATCATCATCATCGCCTCACCATCATCACCATCATCATCACCACCCCATCATCATCTCGTTCGTCGTCGTTATCAACATCGTCATGGTCATCACCGATACCTCCGTCATCAGCATCCTAATCGTCATGGTCACCATGATCACCACATGAATGTTCAGTGGCTTGGACATCACCCAACTCCCCAAGCTCTTGCTTCCGTGACCGAGCGTGTCAAGCCCTTGATGCCCGATGAAGAAGCCTGAACCCAAGACCCTAAGCCCCACGTGAAGCTTCTCAGTTCTCAGAACCATCTCCGTCGCGCTCTGGTTTAACATCGCCAGGTCATAAGCCTCCTCTTCAGCTACACCAAGCAGATCGGGACGGAGGACTTGTTGGAGCCATACCAGCAAATCAAGGCGCCGTGTTGGCTGTCTGACTTGCACTTCGCTCTCGGCTGTTTTGCTGTTTCCGGGGAAGGAGGACCTGATGCTTAAGGCTTTCTTTTCGCTGTTTGTGCGGAATGGTCTGTTGTCCAGGTTCGACGGCATTTTGGGATTTTGGGGACTTGTTTCTGTTTGGGTTGGGAGGGGGTTGAGGATGTTGGAGTTTGTGGGGGTGTTGAGTACTGGCCCCACACCACGACCACCGTAAACCCAACAAGAGAAATCCGACACCTTAAGCCCCCAGCACCCAAATGTTGGAGGTGAACCCGGCTCGGACGGTGCATTTGGAGCCTCGGCCGCGAGACGGGTGCAGGTTCAAGGTGTAGGAGTTTAGGGTTACCAGTTGGGGGTCTGAAGGTCTGGGCGCCACTCTGGTTGGCTCTGCTGTTTAATCTTACTACTGACTGTCATCCGTACTCCAACCCCAACTGTTGATGGCTCGATGTAATCCATATTCCCACCGAAACAAGATTTCACTGGCTACAGCTGTGTGTCTACCAGCTTTCGTGTTCGTCAGTCCGCCTTGCCTTACCTGCAGCCGTGGCATTCAAGCGACGGTCAAGTTGCCATGGCGAGTAGTACTTACTACCCTCCCGAAACAACAGTGCGCTGCACAGCCTGTGAGCTTTTACAGGGGCATCGGAGGTCGGATAAAGTTTTCTTCGGCTTGATGGTCTATAGCTTCGGCTTTCCGATTTTTTGCTCTGCCACAGGCTCGGTGTTGGGACTGTGTACGCGGCAGCTGTTCTCCTGCGTTTGTCCTCTTGCTGCATACGAAGACAAAGAGTCTTGCTTTGCGAACTTGGCCAAAAAGGATATGGCGTCAGCCCGTACACCCAAATCAAAGGCCAGATCACTGGAGCAGGCTCGACCCCCAAAACGTCCATATTGACTTGTGTTGCCGTAGCCTTAACCGCAAAATCTTGTATGGACCTCCAGGAGCCTTCACACAATGTGGAGGATGGGAACTTTTTTCGAGTTGTCGATCTTCCCAGGGTTGAGAAACAACTGCAACAACCACCCTAAAGGCCCAACGCCTTCTCGAAAAGACTCAGACACCTCAACTTTGAGCCTCTGCACCACGAGCTGAAGTACAAGAATATAACTCCAAGAACATAACTCCGAGACTTCCTAGAAACCTGACTGAGCCCGCCAGCTCCACGTGAAGTCGAGGATGGCCTTAGATTTGGCTTCTGCATTGGGCGCAACGCCACGGGGCGTCTCGACGCACACTCCAGGTTTTCTACATGTTACTTGTTGCTTGTTGCTTCCTGCTATGACCCGGACGACGGCGATGACGACCACAACCTTTGGCAATAGCAGCTGCGATGCCACCGCCACTGCCACCGCCACCACCACCAACAAGACCACCGCGACCACTACGACCACGACCTCCAGGGGACGACAATTGCTGCGCCTACTTATGCTACTGCACGTTCTCCGACTCCGTACTCCGGCTCCTACTGCTGCGACTTCAGCTACTGCTGATTCTGCTACTTCTACTGCTACCTTTACTGCCACTGCCGCTGCTACAATGCAACTTCTACTGCTACTCCGACTGCAACTCCTAGTAGTCTTTCACTACTACGACTACGGCTACGACTACGGCTGCTACGACTACGACTACAGCTTCTGCCATCGCGTCTGATACCGCATTATGCACGGCAGTCGCGATACTGATAAAGGCAGCAGTGGGCACAGCCAGACCGGTCTTCATTATCTCCACGCCTGCAGAACAACATGGGTCATGCCTGATTTCAGGCCTCACTTGTTGTGCTTTGCGACGGTTGGCATAATGCTTCTATGAACTTCTTTGCAAATTACCGTGCATATCTCCCCCATCTCTACCATGCCAACCATCACCGCCCCGACTAGAACTACGGTCACCAGCCGCATCACCAATCACCGCGATTCGCCACACATGGCCACCATCGCCACCATTGCCGCCATCAGCGCCACCACCGCCACGACCGCCATCACGACCATCACGCCATCGCCACCTCCAAAAACAGAACTGAGATCATGGTGCTTGATTGTGCGGCTAGGCGGGAATACCTTACGAATTAATCCTGATTCTGCCTTCACCCGATCTCCGCCTCATCCGTCTCGTTCTTACCCGGTGCCAGCATTCTGCTGTACTAAACTTTAAACTTACAGAAAGGGTATAGGCCCAAAAAGCCGGACTACTTGAGCCCTGAACTTCAACTCTGAACCCCAGTTCCAGGTTGAAGCCTTTCCGGATGGAACCCGCAAAAAAGGCCCCCATAAAAGGAATGCGCAATGTGCGGTCCTAGAGCACCTGCAGTGTTGCCCAGGGAGATCCTCTCGGACAAGCACGGGGCTCTTTGGGCAGGCGAGCACTGCGAGCACGTGGGGCTGAAGGCTTCTGCACGCTACGGCTTCGGTTGATGATGAGGAATACACCGCTTATGGGTGGGGGGGTGTATCTCGGCCACTGCTATCTCTTCCTGCAACCGCCGCGAAGAGTCTTAGCCTGTCAGCAATATGATACTTCGCACCCCTTCTCTAAACACCAAAGCTTAACTTCCAAGCCCTCAGCCCCAAGTCCTAAGCCCTGACCGCTAAGTGCCCAAAGCTCTCAATCATGCCACTGTAGAGAACATGAAGAACCCTCACCGAGTGTGTGTGGGTGTGTGAAATCCCAAACCCCCCAACACCGCTTACCCCGCCTCTGAAGAAACATGCCGCGAGCCCTCACCACCTTTTCCGAATCCTACAAGCACCCGGTCCCCTTCTTCACCGGGGACCTTCGCTTACGTAGCAATTTGGGTGTGAGGTGCGCAGGTCCAGGTCGAGTTCGACAGGGACGATGTGCATTGTACAAAGGAGGCGTGCTGTTTTTTGAGGGGCGGGGGGAAGGGGTTGGCGTTTTGTGTTCGGTTCTGTTAGGGTGGAGGGCTTAGTTTGTTCTGGGGCTTTGTATGAGCGTGTAGGGTTTTAGGCACTTGGTACGAGTAGCCTTCCCTGTCAGTTCCTCAGCCTCCGAGGCCGAAGCCCCCGAAAAAGCTCCACCACTGCTGCCAAGCGATGCAAGTTCCAAGACTCAACACAAGCCTCAACGCCCTGAAAGCCTAAGCTCTAAACACCAAGCCTTCGCAGCTTAAATCCTCGACCCTCAACGCCTATAAGTGAGCCATGCCCAGGATCCACGGGTCAAGCGCCGCTCGGCTGCAAGGGGGTAGGGTTTGGAAGTGAGTGTGCAGAATCTGGGGCCGAGGGAGGAACTGACAAGGCTTACGTTGGGTGACGCTGTACGTAAGGCTTTTTTTGACGATAACTCCTGGACAGGCCTTCACGGTTAATTCCCGAAATTCGAAGTGCCCCCGTGCCTTTCACCTTTCTTCAACGCCAAGCGCCAGAGCCCACTACCTCCGACCCTATCACAGGGGCATGGCCCTGCATCCAAGCTCCCAGAAATCAGCCTTTGTTTGCCCTGCTCTCAGAACTCACCGGCAAAGAAGATCGGGAAGATGAAAAGGCACAGGTTCTGCAAAAGAAGGCGGGGGTAGTCTACGGATATGAGCTGTAATGGCTTTCTGATGATTCAGGAGGCTCTGTGGAGATCAAAAGGTTTAGGGGTTTAGCAGGAGGGCTTGAGGGTGTCCTAGTATGGATGTTTATGGACCCGAAACATGTTCGGCCTCCAAGCACTTCGCGCGTTGGCCACCCTCGTCCCGAAAGATCCAGGGCATGAACATTTAAAGACGGATTCCATCAGAGCACAAATGTCACAGCAAGGAAGACTTAAAGCAGGCATGGACTTTGGGGGTTCCGCATTCAGTGTCCCGGGTGTATTAGTCCGAGCTCAAGAAGCTGTGCGTTGGGAGTTGTTCTGTCTCAAGGGGTACCTTTAGCGGTATTCAGGAGGGAGCCTGCAACGGGACAAACCAGACCTGAAGTAAGACAAAGGTACACAACTGTTTCAGTATCAAGATCCGTGGCTTCGTCCCAATTAGTCTACGTTCCCTTCTTCGTTTACAAGAAGAGTTGAGCGGACCCGGATGTAAGAAGCCTCCAGTTCCATACACATACTGGCGCGCGCTCCCGAAGGTGGGTTGTAGATGCACAGTAAGACTTGGCGTCGGCACAGCACAGCAGCACAGCTTGTATGTGTGGTGCAGGCTGCAGGCTCGTTACTGGTAGCTCTGAAGCTCTGAAGCCTGAAGTAATTGGTCACCTCCAGGGGACCCACACTGTGGGCTTTGAGCTTCAAGCGCTGCGCCCAGACCCCGAAGCTTAAGTCGCTTAAGTCCTACAGCTTCTGCCGAACCCCCAGCTTGAGTTCGCAAATCCAGAGCTCATCGACGCCTTTGGCAGGTGATTGTGAACCTTGACCCCGTCGACCTCATCCGAGTGCAGGTGCTGCTTCGGCCCTTTGGTTTAAGGGCTTTGCAATGAACCCTAGGATTTGGAACGTGGTTTTGGGACGATTCCTGCCATGCTTCCCCATGCTTTGCTGAAGCACAAGAGGATAATGAGCCAAGGCCCATGCTGGAGCCTCTTTTGGTCATCGCACCAGTCCTTGCAATAGCTAGCTTTTGATACTCATACGATCGGGTTATTCTGATGGTGATTGTGTCCCTGCCTGTTGATGTTTTGAACCTGAATCCTCGTTGGAACTCAGGGTTCAGGCAGGGTTGGTGTGTAACGTTCCGTGCTCCCTGACTGGAGGCAGAGGAGATCTTCACGGAGGAAAAGTTCCGCCAGTGGCTGAACGCCAAGGACCGACAGCATGCAAACACCATTTTCTAAAAGCGGTGTCGAAAGCTTACGTCTATGCGTCTGCGACTCTTCAGACAATGCTGTGCCACCTCTTGAAAGCTAATTCACAACGCCAGGCCCAGGCCCTGGAGCCGTGGTCGTCCTCGTATTTGTCCTAGTCGTCCAGGTAGGACCAACTGTATTCGGAATGGGATGCAGCAGAAACAAACAACAACCGGATGACAGTGGGCTCCACTCGTCCGTGAACGTTGCTGCCCAAAGCCCAACACGAATAGTTGCTGATCAACATCTCTCTTCATGCAGCTGTTGTACTTCAATTGACGGAGTCTCATTGGATTCTGAAGTTTCGCGAGACAGAGCTGCTTCAGAGATCGGACTTGCAAGCCCCGGCAGGTGGACAAGAAGGTGAACGACAAGGGGGATCCGCTTGTGCCGCAATCGGCTTGACCGACGTAGGAAAGGGTGCACAAGAATGCAAGCACCAGCAGTAGTTGAAGACGGAACGGAGAGCACTAACCGTCGTAGTGGCAGCGCTCTAGTCAGACTCGAAATGGTCCCCAGGCCCTGAATTTCCAACGTACATTCAGGTATCGGGGAGACTCAAGCTGCCAGGCCCCAAAGCGCAGGAGCTTCGGAAGCGTTTCACACGACGGGAACCGCCGCAAATTCGGTGCAAAGTCGCCGAGGGTTCCCTCAAGTCACCAGGCTCTCAATCAGGGCTTTAGGGTCCATTTGGGGTGTGGGGTGCCGAGCCCCTAAACACTAAATTGCCATCCGGCAACTGTACATAGAGGACTTTCGGCACTTGAGCCGATGAGGAAAAGAAGTGGAGGACTGGAAAGTCATCTCTCGAAGAGCAAGTCTGCTTAAACCAGGTCTTCAGCGGGGAGACTGAACCCTTCGACCGAAGAAAAATTGTACATCAAGCGCGTACCAAGCCATGTGCCGTGGCCTTGCCAAGCGTGCGTGCAATCTTCACGAAATCTGGTTCAAGACCCTTCCAGCAGAAAGTCCTGCAATCTCAAGCAGCATCACATCTGAGCAGGAAGCCGTCATGCATACCCCCCAAAGAGGATAATTGATACACCATCCCTTCAAGCCCAGGTCGTGATCCCCAAGTCGCAGATCCGAATCGTTGATAAAACGCACGAAGCTTACAGCAGGAGATGATAGGGGACGTTACAAGTCTCGAACGGTCCTGGCATCGTAGCCGCAACGGTCCGCTGCTCCCGATGACAGCAGAGACTCGGCGAATGGTGATTTCTGATCAGGGCTTCTTAAAACACTGCGATTAAGTATGCATCTGGCCAGGGCTAGGGTTTTTCAGGGTCTTCAGGAGCAAAGCTAAAATCAGCGTGTCCTTGCCACCCTTCATCCGAAACACCCAAAAACCCTGGCTCTCCTTGAGGAGCCACGACTTGAAGCCACAAAGTCACTGAGCTAGCCACACCCTGAAAGCCGCAACGAAACACCACTCAACCCTGCAGCCCAAAACCCTAAACCCGGTGCGCCATAAAGCCTTAACTCACTAAATTTCACTAAGCCTTCAAGCGTAGAATCGGCAAGCCCTCGAAGTTCAGTACGACCCAGCCTTGGAGCTGCGATGCCAAGGCGCTGCCTCGACCCTCCCATCGCCGGGCGCAGGCACCGCTGCAGAGGTTACGGATTTGGGTCTTTCAGGCCTCGAGGGCTCCCTTTGGGGGTTTGGGGTTTGCATCGGGTTTGGTGGTTCTTGGAGTTTGGGGCTGCGGGTTTAAGAATTAGCGGATGGAAGTACAGTAACTGTTCAGTGCTTGTTGGGGCTTATGGAATTGGGATTGATGAGGTTTTCTGCCATGATTCGGGTTCAAAGCTCGGCTCTTGCTGTCGGTTGTCCGGGTTTAGGGTTTAGTTTAGGGTTGTCGATTTAGGGCCTCGGGATCTTCTCCGTACACGCCCCACAAAGCCCTGAGCTCCGCAATGAGTGGCAACAGCCCGGTCTCGCTGGGGAGGCTCCCGGCGATGCCGTGGGTGCAGAGGCCGTCATCGAGGAGGCGGGAAATGAGGATGGTAAGACGAACCCTAATCCCAAGCTCCACAACAGCACTGCAAAATACACCCGAACCCTGCGCACGGAGTTAAAGTCTCAATCAGGAGAACGTCAGAGTGTGGACACGCATGCAAGCATTTCGGTTACTGTGCAGACTGTCCCCAAACCCACCACGGTAAAACTCCAGAGTCCTGACCGCGAAAAACCACTTGCCAAAGTGCCAAAGCCCACCTTGGACAGGGGTGGGCATATGTGAATATAATTGTATATATATATATATGTATTATGTCCAGATATTTTTTTATATGTACACATATACATACGTATGTATGTATGTATGTATGAATGTATGTACAAACGCACACACGCACACACCTATCCACATATCCACACATCACGCATACTTGAGGTTGAGGCCCTGGAAGAGGCCTTGCAACAAACGGCCCCGGTGCTCAGATTTTTCGGGGAATCAAGTTGTGGGCGCAGCGAACTCCAAAGACGGGCGCTGGATTTAGAGGTTGATTCCTCGTCGAACTTCTCCTGTAGAACAGCTCTTGTATCTGCGTTGCAATACGAGGGCCTTGAAAAGCACGACAAACACGCAGAGCGGTAGCCGTGTGGGAGGACCAGTACACGAACTTCGGGCAGTAGATTTCGAGCTCTCAGGAGCGACACCGCGAAATCGAGCGGTGTCGATCTAAAACATGGCGAAAGGGACAAAGCCACGACTGGGATGGCACTGCAAATGGCACATGACGTTTCCCAGCTCTATGCAGTCTAACAGTGCGTAGAAAAGCCCTAGGATGGAGGTCAAGCAACTCCGTTCCTAAGTCCATGCCCAAAGCCTGACTATGAGGCTCGTGATTAAGACAAAGCCAGAGGTTGCAAGTCCCAGGGTCCCAAAGTCACAGTCCGTCACTCAAGACATGTTGGCGCTTGTGACCAAGGTGCGTTCTTTCCTTTCGGCGCCAACGAGCCCCGCAAAAACCTGTTGTTGCCTCTTAAGCTTTGAGCGACTCACTTCCGATCTGAGCGCTCCCGACTCTAGGTCACTGACTAACAACCCCTTTTTTTTTTTTTTTCCAAGCCACCTTAAACCTTGTAAATTCATAAAGCTCCAACAGCCTAGCGTTTAAGACCTTTACAGTCACAAGCGAGGAAGTCTCGAGCGGCTTCTGATGCTCAGGTGACGCGACAGAGAGCGCCAGGCGCGTTTGTGGTGGGGCAGCATCTGGGTCCTGGTACAACAGGCAGCTGAATGCTTTTTACACTTATTCCTGAATGTATTTGCTTAGGTATCAAGAACTCACGTCATCGTCTAATTGTCGAGGCAGTTTAGGCTTTTTGCTACGCTTTGGGTTTACATGAGACGATACAAAAAACTGTCTCGCGTGTATGACGTATGCACACAGAGAGAAAGATGTGAAACCGCGTATATGATCCCGGTTCTCGGTTCACCGACCCCCCCCCCCCCAATGGTATCCCCCCCCCGCCCCCTGAGATGTAACCTGGACGTGTATCCCCTCGCTAGGCGTACAGGAACACAGGCACTCAGGTGTCTCTTTTGCTACAGGCGCACAGCTGTAGCCCACTGCACTAGAACCTTGAGCAACAGGCATGGATACATGCAAGTGATACGTGAAACAGACAGGCACCTGGATGTGTAACATTCAGTGTTTCAACCAGGCACAAATTTAAAACACGTAGAGCTGCATGGCCGTGGAGTCGGCAATCTACAAGCCTGTTATTGCTCTTGGTCGAATTAGCGGAGTATTGAGCTACATCTGCGACTTGAAGAGAATCTATACATCTCTAGCCTGAAGACAGCTTCAATGAAAAGAGCAGAACACGCACGAAACGCAAACGGATCTTCAACTGAAAACTTTTGCTTGAAAGTTGCCCACTTGTGTTTCAGTTCCCTCTCCAGGCGGAAAGCATACTGTAACATAAAGGTGTAAAGCTTAGCTTTACTTGATGCCAGCATGACATCTTGCGGCAAGGCAAATATATAAGGGCATTAGAAGTATCTTATCCTGAGATAAGTATCTTCCTTTGAGAAAGAGTTCTTTAGGAAGTACCTTTTCCTGAGAAAAGCATCTCCCTATGAAATGGCGAATGCTCAAAGTGGATACCTTCTTATGAAAGAAGCATTCCGTGAAACACACAGCCAGTTCAGTCGACGAACTCTAGGTCTGCATCCCAGGTTCTATCACGCCAATGATCCTCACCATGCCAACGGTAGATGTCGACAGTGTGAATCGGCATCACCGGCTGATGACGAACAGGGTCGTAACCGCGGGGATCAGCAGGGGATCTAGGTAGCGATATCTGTGGATCTGGAGCAACGTCTCCAACTTGTTCCAAAGGAACTTCTTCAGAACCATTGTCCATATCCACGTCCGAAGAATCGGAACCTAGTCAGTTCTTCCCCTTGTTCTTGCCCTTGGACTTGTCCTTGGATTTGCCTTTGGACTTGCCCTTGTCGGCGTCCTTGCCTTTTCCTTTGGAGGACTTGCCTCCTTTGCCGCCTCTTTGCCACCAGGAGGTTGTGCGGGTTCTGGAGGACGTTGAGAACCAGAAGCTTTAGCACCAGAAGCTGCCTCTTCCTGAGAAGAGCTTGCTCCCTGTGGTGCGGCTGCAGGACCAGTAGAACCAGAACCACGCGCCTTGTTCAGCTTCTGTCTCTCTTTTCTTCTGTCCGCGGCTTCCTTCATGGTGTCGGGATTGCGGTTGAGCGCTCTCATCCTGCCTCCAGAGTACTGGTTCGCGTGAACCTCGATGAGGAGCGGAGTGTGAGCGTCATAGTCCCGATCGTTGAGAAGGTACGCGGCGCTGGTGGAGTTTAACAGCCACTCAGAGACATGGATGTCGAACTCATTCTTTGAAGACGGAAACTCCGCCCATTGATCGTCCGACATGCTGTGTCCCCATTCCATGACTGTAGCCATAACAGGATCCAAACCAGGAAAGGTATTCCAGTCTGGTTGCTTAGCTTCCTTGTATGGCATTCCCAGCGTGTCCTCATACTGTTTCAGAAGCCACATGGCGTTTGCTGACACATGTCTCGCACGAGGCGAACAGAGGTGTGGGCACTTTGGGCTTTCTGACCATGCCTCCAAGAAGTAGTCGAGAAGGCTTTGGTACATCCCGCCACGAATATCCATCGACTCCTGCTTTCTGCCGGTGGCCCGGTAGAGGGCCATGTTGGCGTCGCCACCGATGAGGTCGACTTGGTAGTGCAGGCAGTCGATGAACATGTTGCCCAACACTTCATGAGCCAACGCCACCTTGTCTGCCGCCGCGTCGTTGTGGAGGTGGAAGACACAAACTCTCAGCCGGTCGGATCCAGCTCGCTCCAAGACCTTGGTCAGTGACTCATCTGGAACATCACCACGACTGCCCTGGAGACCGGTCGGTA